GCGCCAACTAACCAGCAGACCATGCCCAAGCTACGTTACAATAACTAAACTTCTAATAACTTTATTATATATATCTGTCCCTTGAGTAATTACGGCCCTCTATTACGTTGAATAAAATAGATTTTTAGTTTAACCTCAACTACATTTTTACCTGTCACACTTTATTACCGTACTGAAAAACACATTTTTTTTTTCTGATACAGAGACCAAAGTTATATATTTTATCAAAACTAATAACCCACATTCTTCGAAAAGTTGCAAGCGCCCCCTCATGGAAATTTATTGTGAAATGTCAATAACTATTATAACTCAACAGTCTAATGAAACGTGTTGAAAGTACAATTATTAGGAGAAAACCAAATAGCGACTAATTTCCCCAAATGTTTCAGATGAACGATAGAATTAGAAAGTTACTACCGTGAATCCTAAGCGATTTAAACGTATGGTTTTTAATACCTTTTATTCTAAACTGAAGTCTGACTACAATTCTGTCTGTTCACAATGTAACCTGTACTATTTGTGATATCCATCAGTGAGTGTTGTTCCTCAATATTATAATGTTTAGTGTTTGGAAACAAGTATAAAGGTCTCCTTCCAATCAGAAACAGGGAACACTGAAGAACGAAGACATTTACAACTATGTAAGAAAACGGAACAATTAACCTGTAGTAAACATCCACTAGAGGGCGCCTTTAAATATTTGCAAATTATCAGAAACAGGGAACACTGAAGAACGAAGACATTTACAACTATGTAAGAAAACGGAACAATTAACCTGTAGTAAACATCCACTAGAGGGCGCCTTTAAATATTTGCAAATTATCAGAAACAGGGAACACTGAAGAACGAAGACATTTACAACTATGTAAATAAACGGTACAATTAACCTGTAGTAAACATCCACTAGAGGGCGCCTTTAAATATTTGCAAATTATCAGAAACAGGGAACACTGAAGAACGAAAACATTTACAAGTATATAAATAAACGGTACAATTAACCTGTAGTAAACATCCACTAGAGGGCGCCT